TTTCCCTAATCATGAGTGATGAAGAACAGTTTTCATATGCCTGTTGGCCATCCCAATGTTTACTTTGGGGAAGTGTCTATTCATCTCCTTGGCCCTTTTGTGAATGGGATCATTCGATTTTTTGTTGAGTTTTGTGAGTGCTTTATAGATCTGGGATATCAGTTCTTTATTGGATGTGTTGTGTGCAAATATTTTTTCCCAGTCAGTATATGTAATCATGAAATAAATAAGTGGAAGCAGTGGCATGGTCTCTCTTGCCCGCCACATGTGTTCGGTGGCCATGGGCCATTTCCCCATCCCAGCCTGCAGCCGCCACCAAGGGTCTCATGAAGGAGGGAACAGGGCCGCTAGGCTGGTTGGTGATCATCTCCGTTTATTCCATTCTCCCCATGCACCTGTGCTAGTCTCACTAAGCTCCCCATTCCAGTCTCACACTGCTCCTTATTCTCGTCTTTTGTCCCCTATGGTAGTCTCCCCACACTCCATCTTGCAGCCTTGGTCTAGTCCTCAACTTCCAAGCATCCCAGCTGAGGTAGCTCAGTCAACTTATGAAAGCCCTTCCTTCTGAGGGAAGCCTCTACGATAAGACCAAGGTCTCCTGCAGCCAGAAGATCCACTCAAGGGTGAAATACCATCTAGGGGTGTGTTTCTCCTTTCCTTAGTCCAACAATCATTTAAACATTCATCTTAATTCTACTTCTTAATAATATAATTAATTTTGTATGGACACAGTCAGAAATACATTAAACTTGTAGGGTGACTCTCCTGGGGTCTTCTCACTATAGATGCCAGACTACAGTGCTCAGGCCAGTTTAGTATTTCTAGCAGGGTCCTAATCCAGTTGTTACTCTTTGGATCATGAGAGAATTTGTCCATGACCATGGAGTGGTAGCACAGTGGTAGGGCGTTTGCCTTGTGTGTGACCGATCTGACCGACTCGGGTTCAATTCCTCCACCCACCCCTCTTGGAGAACCTGGCAAGCTACTGAGAGTATCTCACCCACATGGCAAAGCCTGGCAAGCTACCCGTGACATATTTGATATGCCAAACAAAGTAACAACAAGTCTCACAATGGAGACATAACTGGGTCCGCTAGAACAAATAGATGAACAACAGGAGGACAGTGACAGTGACAGTGACATGTTCTTAATGTATAGTTAAGTATTATGACACTTGGCCTGACCCATTTCAATGCCAGGGTAGCTCACAACTTGCTCTGTGTCCATCCAGTCCCTTGTCAGGACCCTGCTTTTGGGGTGCTAGGAATTAAGGGCAACTGAGGCTTAAGTTGAGAAAACAAATGCCCAGGAGTAAATATTATTTGGAGTCAATTAACTCCCAAGTTAAAAAAGCATAGCATTAACTGTATTTCTGTGTCTATACAAAAAGGACATTGCTTTGAAGTAAACTATACAATGAATATAAGAGAACGAGAAAAGCAATATTTCACTTACAAATACAAAAATCAGATTCCTTAGAAGGGTTTGATTTTACAAGTCAACAGAGTTTGACTTGGGGATAAAAATGATTAGCAGGTTGGGGAAGCAGAGCACAGGGAAGTTAAAGATAAACACAGATGATTGGGAGTATCTTGGGAGCACTGTGATGGGTGTAACCCAACAAACCTAAGCTCCTTGTGGACAGTGAGAAAGGACAAACCAATGTTATTCTACACAGTAGGTTTCTTTTTATTAGAGCTTGAGTTTCTTTTGCTGTGCAAAAACTTTCCAATTTGATGTAGTCCCATTTGTTTATTTTTGTTTTAAGGAGTGCGTATGTTCTATGTGTCTACGTGTGTGGTTGTGTATATATGCATGTATGGTTGTACTTCTGTGGGTGAACAGGCATTAGCACCACAACAGTGGTCTGAGTTAGTAGCAAGAAAATTGGGAAAATGGGAAGGGAAAACCGGGGAAACAGACATAAGCATTTGACTAGATCTTACATGGGAGGTCATCTTTCTAGAACATTCTTCCTCAAACCTTAGACAAACCTATTTTATCTTGGTATAGTAATAATAGGTCAACTTTGAGAGGAAGAAGGAGGGGGAGGAGTCCACGGGCAGTTCTATAGGGGGTAATTCAGCGCCTCTGTGTTGAGCAATGCCGTGGAGGGTTGGACGAGATCCCACCAAGCCCAGGGTTGAGTTCTACTGCCTTCAGGGAGAGCTCCAGCCCCTGTCCTCGGGGAGCATTTGACTCTTCAGCTCCAGGGCCATAAGTTGATGGGTTTGTTAAGTTGTTAGACTCAGGCTTCCCCTTTGAAAGTTAGAAAACTACATTTTCCTTGGACTCTCTGGGCAGTGTTATGTTGGACATGCTCTTAGGTTTCCTTCACTTTAACCGCGTTTGTTCTTTTCATGTCACTGTCAGTACTATGAACTTGAACTGGTTTTGCAGTTGGTTAAAAAGTTCATGGAGGACAAGTGATGGGCCCATTCATTCTGAGGGCGTCACCGGGGGCCAGACCTGGGCACTGTGCTATCACATCAGCACAGCTCCAGGAGGGCAGGGTGCCAGGGCTTCGGGGGTTCTTTCCATCTACTGGCTATTCTGGGCCTTCACCTTTCCCCCTTTGAACACACTCACTACATTATGCTAGTCCTCTGGGTCTCCAGGTCGTGGGCTACACACAGTGGGCGGGCGAGCCAGCAGGTGCCCCAGCGATCAGTGGGAGAAGCAAGTCTGGGTGGTACATGACACTCAGTAGGAGTGGGGAGGCACCACTTAGTGGCCGACTGGATGGGGCTGGCCCCTGCCTGCTCTCTGCTGTCATGGGCTGGGGTCTTGGTGAAGAATCTGCCAGGGCCTCTTTTCTTTTTTTAATGTAGGAGTACAGCCTGGAGCGATAGCACAGCGGTAGGGAGTTTGCCTTGCACGCAGCCAACATGGCCAACCCGAGTTTGATTCCTCCGCCCCTCTCGGAGAGCCCGGCAAGCTACCGAGAGTATCTCGCCCGCACGGCAGAGCCTGGCAAGCTCCCCGTGACGTATTCGATATGCCAGACACAGTAACAACAAAGTCTCCAATGGAGACGTTACTGGGCCCGCTCGAGCAAATCGATGATCAACGGGAGGGCCTTTACTTTACTTACTTTACTGCTATTTATTCAGCCACTGATTAGCTGATTGAATTGGGCATGAACTCCACCTTACTTTTTTTTTTTCATTTTTATAATTTTATTTATTGAATCACTGTGAGAGCAGTTACAAGGCTTTCAGGTCTAAGTCTCAGTCATACAATGAAACACCCATACCTTCACCAGTGCCCATTCTTCACCACCAAAAACCCCAGTATATCCTCATCCCACACCCTCCCCCTACCTGTGGGGCAGATGATTTCCACATTACTCTCTCTCTACTTTGATCACATTCAATATTTTGACACTAGACCCACCATTATTATTTGGGATTTTAGTCCAACATGCAGATCTGCTGAAAAGGAAACAGTAGACACTTGGTTTTCTATTGCTGGTTATGAATAACTTATGATGTCGCATGGCTGCAGTAGTGGCTGCGTGATTTTGAAATTCCGAAATTTTAACACTTAAATCTGGAGGGATTTCTGCCAAAACCTGCTGGGTTTCGAGATTTGTTTCTGAGTCTCTGGGATCATGGTCGTTAAGCAGCTTGATCAGAAAGGCCGCTCATGGGCGGCAACTCGGGGTCTCATTGGGACGGGAGGAAAGGGCCAGCTCCACCCCCATCCCATGAGGCCCCATGTGTCTCATCACTGAGGGACAAAACCTGACTGTCCAGTGGCCTCTGGAGGATGGCGGCCACCGAGCTGCCTAGGGGGAGCAGGCGGAAGGGCCTCTTCTTAAGACTTGAGAAGTCACTGGTTTCCGTTCCATCTCCAATACCTGTCAAGTGTTTATTTGCCTTTTCTAAAGCATTGCTTCCTCCGAGATCTTTGAAAATTCCTCCAGGGGTTGATGTGGAAGTGAAAGGCTGTAAAATGCCAAGCCTTCCCTGGGTTTCTCAGGACTAAAACTGCTGCTTATAACATTCGTTTCCCAACAAACCACGTAATTTTGTGGGTATGGCTCGTGCAAAGCCCCAGCTCTGTCCCCAGTACCATCTGCTGCAACCCGGTGGCCCCCAAGCACCTGCGGGAGAAGCCCTGTTCCCTCCCCTCGCGCTGATGGGTGTGGTCCCTGGAAGAAAGGGACGATGAGAAGAAATATGAGTCCGAGTGCAGGCGTGTGCTCACCGCATCATTCTCACATTTGTGGGTGACTGGAGCACATTTCGCTTCTTCCACATTCTTGATAAACACGTAGGTGGACAACAGTTTCTAATTAAGATATACCCTAAAATCAAATGCCTTTGAAACATTATTTCAGTTTCTAATACAGATTCTGCTCCTATTTAAAAGATGAATGAATTTCTAAACAGCCCAGAGCTACTTTCAAAACTTTATATAACACAGGAAAGCGTCCCACCTTCATTGAGGATCACATGCATTTCAGCAAAGAGCAGTTTTGCTAAACACCCACCTGCGCGCGGCGAGGCTGCCTCTCCAGCCCTGTGCTAAAGGCGTGTTTGTAAGCTACTTTTAATACATTAGCATATTACTGTTGTCCAGGAGAATGCCTCTTAACCCATGGAATCAGTTAAGAGCATCGGGTGTTTATCTGCAACCAGGGTTATAGAGATCCAGTCACACGGCCCCCACAAAATGTGTCCATTCAACCTGGAAAGAGAGGGGGAGGACGAAGGCCACAGAGCCATCAGGGAGCCTGTGTTTGAATGCCTTGGATCCACCTTCAATATTTTTCAAGTTCTTGGAAGCCCCAGACCAGTTCTTCCTCTCCCGAGGTGCCAGATAGACTTTTGGTGACGTCTGTGTGGACAAACGCGCTCGCCTGCAGCCCGACGCAGGGTGTAAGGGGCCTGTGGGCTGTTTGGTGGGCTGGGGTGCTGGGCGGGAGATGATGCATCTGTCTCTTCCCGCCCTTGCCAATCGACACATCTGCTCTTGCTTGCCTCCCGTCCCAGTGCCTGTCCGCCGAGGAGATCTTCTCCCTCCATGGCTTCTCAAACACGAGCCTGCTGAGTAGCTCTGACTTCCCCGTGGTCTGTCCCGCCATCCTCCAGCAGCTCAGCTTCCACCCCTGCGATGCCCGGCCCACACTCGGCTCCAAGCCCAGCATCTCAGAAGGTACGTGGGAGCCTTGCCTGCCCGCAGAAGGGGGGAAATGCTGTCAGCCAGCTTCTCCCTGGACTCATCTGCGAGAAGCCTTCGGTGGCAGAGTTCTACGCCAGATATACTTAGAGTAAATATCATCGGACCCGCTGGACCTTCATCAGCTCCCTCAGAAGTATGTGGATAAGGCTGTCTTTTTTTTTTTCTTTTTGGGTCACACCTGGCGATGTACAGGGATTCCTCCTGGCTCTGCACTCAGGAGTTACTCCTGGCGGTGCTCAGGGGACCATATGGGATGCTGGGAATCGAACCTGGGTTGGCTTTGTGCAAGGCAAACGCCCTACCTGCTGTGCTATTACTCCAGCCCCAAAGCTGAGTCTTGACCTTACGCCATATTAGCTTTACTGGCTGTAGATCATACATTATTTGGCTCAGAATCAATCAGTTATCTAATGCTTATCATATTACTTAACAGCTTGTTTATCTGGTAGTTCTTCTAGTTTATATCTTTTAATTTTTAAAAATTATAGTAATATTGGGTTATGAGACTATATATTTCGGGAATATAGTTTCAGAGACTGTTATGACTGCTTTTTAATCTTCATATGTGAAAGAAAGTGCCAGCAAAATCAGCTTCCTGTGATGTACAGTCATAGATACTGTACTTTACAGGGATAAATTTTAAATTTAAATTTTAAATTTAAATTTTACTGAAGAGGAGCTGAAGTTTCTGCTCATCATATAGCTCCTGGCTCCTTACACCGAACACAAACTGAGTGTAGGGGACCAGAAGTTGCCGATGGTTAAAGGTGTCTGAACACGTGACAGTCATAGTTCAAATGTAAATGTGTCATGAACCCAGATCTGTCCGCCCGTGTTCACCTGGGTTGCATTTCTCAGGTTCAAAGTAGCGGTGAATGGAGAGTGTCTGAGGCCCTGGCTAGTTCACGGTGCAGACACGCATGTGACAGAGTTGCCAAGCTTATTGACAAGGCAGCAGTGGTGTGGGTGGTGGGCAGGAGTTGGCCTCTGCTTGACATCCAGAGGCTGATAGTTTGGCCGCTAGGGCATTTTCACCATGAGGGATTTTTTGGTGTCTCCATCCAATAACTGGTTCTGGTGCAGCGTGCCAGGAGCTGTTTTGGGCAGTGAAGGTCCAGTTTGCACACGGGCAGATGAAGCTCTTTGGGTAGGCGACTGAGTGCACCCGCTCACAGGGGAAGCGCCTTCTCATCACTGAGGAAGGAGGCCTGGCGGGATGTTCGCCTGTCCCCTCTATGCAGCTGGGATGAGTGTTCGACCTGCAGTGGGCAGGATGGTGGCCACGAGCCCTGAGGCCCTGAGCAGGCTGCACTGGCTACAGACGCACAGTGTCCGTCGAGGTCGAGTCTGATGCTGACTTAGCTTGTGCGGCCAGAAGACAGAGAGCCGGGCCATCGATGCAGGTGTCAGGAGTGCCACTGCTGACACGGTCCTGGTCTCCCTGTCACTCGGGGCAATGACCACAGATGGGGATAGGGGAGTGACGGGCAGGACATCTGTCTCTGCAGCGATGGGTGCCACTGCCACTCCCCAGGACAGTCCCCATGCACTTCCTTGCTGCAGGGCCCCCCCGGCCTTCTCCCCAGATGCCTTCTCTTTCCTCAGGGAAGTAATTTGTTATTGAGACCTTGTGTGCGCTGGAACTTACCCAGGGTCTCAAAGCACAAGGCCTATGTCGCACCTTGCAGGCCATGCCCACAGCCCCACTGTGTTCCTGAACGAAGTGCTCCGGACCTCGACCTAACTGCCTCACTCAGGCGAGGGGAAAACCACACTCAAAGCTGTCGGAGGAGTCCCTGAGACCACAGTCATGCTGGGGTTGCAGAGAGCCAAAGAGCCATCTCCTTTAGGGGTGCGGAGATGCTCAGAGTGGGGTGGGCGCTTGGTCCCGAGACCCAGGTTCCTGCCCACACTGTGACGAACCCCCATTGCATGTGGCCTGAGACCAAAACTGACCAACCAACAAAGCAGTCTTGGCAGAGTCCGCATTTCCTGAGACATCACCGATCGTGTTTCCCACTCAGAGATGGCCACCTAAGCGCAGGTTCTCCTGAGCTCCCCAGGAGGGCCAGGCTGTCTTAGTGATTGTGACGAGGTCACAAGATGCCTTTGGGTTCTGGCAACAGCGAGGCATGAGAGAGTTCCCGACGTGACCTCTCAGGATGGACAGCCCGGACAGTGACCAGGGCGAGCCACAAAGGAGGGCTGTACTTCCCACCTGTTCTCTCGCATGGGAGAGCCACAGGGGCCCACGGACTGCCATCTGCTTATTAATGGTAGTACGCAGCCCTGCAGGTGACTTGACATGTCCCAGGGTCTCCATTTTCATTCTTGGGAGCGTGCAGTGAAATAAGACCAAATGAGTTAAAGAAGTTGGTGTTCTTGAATTCTCAACACATAACAGGCACTGGGTGAGGCCAGCAAGGGTTCCTGGTGCTCCCAGGAGACATTTGGAAACCTCCTGGGGTCCCCGAGGGAGCAGAGAGAAAGGCCGTCTCTAAAGAGTAGGCCGGACAGGGCATCTGTGTAGAGGCAGAGACGCCCAGAAATGCTGGCGTGTTGATTCTCCAATGCGTGGACTTCTTCCTGGATAAATTCCTAATGATGCAACAAGTGGGTCACCTCTGAGTGTGGAGATTGGCCCCAGTGCTTGCTTTTTATGGCTCCAGGAGCACAGATACAGGGCAGAGCCTGGGGGTGAGGCGTCTGAGGTGGGTGTGCACCTTTGCCTCCACGCTGACACAGGCATCACAGACCCCTGGGATGAGGAGTTTGAGGTTGGGGTGCACCTTTGCCTCCACTTGCTACTCAAAACACGCCCATCCCTTTTTACCGTTTCAACATGTACTGTGTTGGGGGTGGGGGGCTAGGGGCTATGCAGGACAGACAGGCAGAGGACTTTGACCCTAGGGTAAGTGTGAGGGGAGGAGACAGCAGAGTGAGTGCTAAGGTGCCATCAGGAACTCTGGAGGTGCTGGTCACAGTCCCCGGGGGAGAGAGCTTGTTGAACACTGGGCACATGTGTTTGCGCACGCATTCACACACACCCACAAGCTCTCACAGTATCCAGGATGCGTCCATATGCATGAGCACTCACCCGAGACCATGTGTACACACACACGCCCTGGGCAGCTCTCGCACAGGGGTGTGTGCGTGCCTATCTGCGCTTCCTCTGAACCCTCTGTGTCCTCGTGGCCACTCTGCCTGCAGCACTGACCGACCAGGCTTGTACTTGGCTGTGGACAGTGGGTGCAGCTCAGGCCCATGGATGCCCGTAGGAGCAGAGACATTGCATGGGTCGTGGCATGGGGGAGAGGCAGGTCTTGTGTCCCTGAGTCCTGTGTGAGGCCTGGTGGCCCAACCCACCATTTGCCTCTGTGTCTCCTGCCAGTACCAGGGCCCGGCCCTGCCCTGTGCTCACCCAGCACCTCCTGACTCCCTCCAGACACCAGGGCAAGTGAAGGCCATTCCTGGCCAAGCTGGAGGGGGTGGCTACTGCGTCCATCTCATTCTAAGGTGATATCGTTGGTACCAGGCCCAGGGACCACCCCACGCTGTCCCCAGGCTCCCTGACGCAGAGTGGGGCAGGCAGTGCATGGTGGTCCCTCCAGAGTTGGATCCAGCTCCCAGGAGGCCCCTGAGGGGGAGGAGGCTGGCGTGTACCTCCCTAGTGGTGCCTGTGCTCCAGAGATTAGGGCTGAGTCACCTGGAGGCCGCCCACCCCAGCCTCTGAGTCCCGGCTCAGTTCCCGAGCCCAGTCCGCCAGCCCTGAGGCCCCTTCCCCGGCGTGGGCAGCTTCACTCTCAGGCCCTCTTCGCACAGTGTTCGCTTTCCTTGAGAAGCCCCCATTTCCCAAGATTGGTTTCAAGCCTTTGGAGAAGAAATTGGTCTCCAGCTCCACGGATCCTGCCTCCCCCGCCCAGCGCCTCACTGACTTCCACTCTTTCCTGACCCACAGTCTGGGGCTATGGCTTCCTGGCAGTCACAGTCATCAACCTGGCATCTCTCCTTGGGCTGATTTTGACTCCGCTGATCAAGAAATCTTACTTCCCCAAGATTTTGACCTACTTTGTGGGGCTGGCGATCGGCACGCTGTTTTCCAATGCGATTTTCCAGCTCATCCCTGAGGTAAGGCTCGTGGTGGCATTATGTGTTGGTGTTTGCTGGAGCCGGCCTTCTGCCTTCTGTGTGCAGCCCCTGGGGCTCCATGCTGGCAGACTGCGCCGAGAAGGCTGCGGGACTGTTGGGGTGCTGGCGAGGTGCTGAAGATGCTGAAGATGACGACAGTGTAGCTGGAGGCCGGCCAGGTCACCCGGGTGTGCTGGGGCAGGGCTGGGACACCAGGACCTGGGCACTTTATTCTTGCACTCGGCAGGTTCCCTTTCTGCACACGCTTGATTTCTTCTGTTTTTGCAAGGTACATTTGATGTCAGATTTGCCGAGATTTAAAAAAAAAAAAAGATTGGTTGAGGCTCTAACAAAGCCATGGCAGCTTGTTTCTCCCCACTGGAATAAACGTGGCCCCACCCCCCGCACAGGGCGCTTCCGTGTTGCATCCCATGTGGAGGGAGGAGGAGCGAGCAGATGGACTGCCCAGTGGCGGGCAGGGGACAGTCATGCTCCTCCGGGAGGGATCCTGCCTCAGGACCTCCCCCATGAGTCTAGATTAAAGGGACGTGATTTAATCCCACAGCTGTCCCCCTCGGAGGGGCTTTGATGGTGCCCTGAACTCACCACCACCATCATTATTACTCAAGAAGGCGTGCAGGAGAGTTTGTCCTTCACACGCTCAATTATAGGGTTATAGAGGAGAAGTCTGTTGCAATCCATGGGATTAAGATCGTGATTGCAGTTGTGCTAAACGGATCTTTATAATAATACTCTAGTACCCCAACTTCCTTCGTTTGGAATTCTGTCCCGTTTGCTGGCACCCCACGACCTCGGTACCTGACCCATGAAACCGTGATGTATGTCCTGCTTGCTCTGGGTGGCTGGACACGGTAGTGCTGAGTTCTGCATAGGGGTGTGGGGGGTCTGACCCCTGGTCTGCCTTTCCCAGACCCCGGTCCCATCTCATCTGGCTTGTTTGCCATCTGCGTGGCGCAGAGCTCCTGGCTGCCGAGGCCCTTTCACTGGCGGGGGCTTTGCGTCCACCACTGCCCGTGTGGGAGTGAGGCTGAGGGCATCATCTTTCTTTCAGCCCTGGGCCCAGACTGAGATTGGCTGGTCTTCTGACGACTTGTTGGCAGCCTGTCCGTCCAGTAGCGTCACCAGCACCCAGAGACCTTCCCTCTTGGCCTCGCCAGCACAGGAGTGTGTGTTTGGGCCAGTGTTATCTTAGAGAAAGTGGATAAGCACTGTCTTAGTTTTCTGTGTTGCCTAGGGCTAATGTTCTCTCCCGCCTGTGTCCGCACCAGACTCTCTTACTCCCGGGCACCCCTGCTACCCAGTCAGGGCCGCGAGACCTGGACACTCGGGCCGCTCCCTGGAACTTTCTTGGGGGTGAGATCTGCTCTGGCACTGTTGGCAGTTTGGTGGCCCACGTTTCAGTGTTTGTGTGTTATGATGTCAGCAGGTGAAACCCCACTATTGCCTGGAAATGAAGATGAACTCACGGCAGAGTCTGGCAAACTCCCCGTGGCGTACCCAATATGCCAAATACCAGTAACAATGAAGGGTCTCATTCTCCTAACTCCGAAAGAGCCTTGAATATGGCACCTTTTTAAAAATCTCAGGGCTAGGATGAAGGAGACGTTATTGGGGCCTGCTCGAGGCAATCAACGAATAAGAGGATGGTCGTCGTGATCGTGAAGATGAACTTCGAACCTTGGTGAAAATGGCATACTGGGAAATTTTTATGTGACTTTCTAGAAATCAAGATAAACCATGTGGCCTTATCACTCTTGCCTTTTCTCCTCCCTCAGGCCTTTGGCTTCAATCCCAAAATTGACAACTACATTGAGAAGGCAGTTGCTGTGTTTGGGGGATTTTACATCCTTTTCTTCTTTGAAAGAGTTCTGAAGATGTTATTGAAGACATATGGCCAAGTAAGTGGGCTTTATTGAAAGAATTGGGTATTTTTCCCTTAACGACACGGAACTTAACATACCACTATTTCTTTACTATAACTTGTAAGTGATGCAGTTCTCTTACTAAGGTAGGTGATCTATGCTAGCCTTACCTAAATGATGCCTGTGAACTTACCAGCTTAAAGTCTTACTTATATTTTGTGCATATATAGTAAACACAAGCACACCATTATTAAAATAAAATCAGATGCTCACCTGCTTCTTACCAGTTTGTTCCTTCATGTCATTTTCCTCTTCTTTGTGATACCCAATAAAATTTGAAAGTAAACACTTAAAAAAAAAGATGGAACTTATTGTTGGATTATGTGGAGTCCACTTGCTAGATTGCTGACTGTGAAGAGAGATGGAGTGCCTAGCGACAAGTATCTGGACACACCAACTCCAGGGCAAACAGCACCTGTGTTGTCCCCTAGTTCATTGTCCCCATCTATAGAAGGAAGAAAGGACAGCCACAGGCTGGCGGATGAACACACAGTTCAGGGATGACGTGGTGCAGGGCCGGGGGGTGCGAACCCTGTCTTTGCTTCCATGTAGAGCGACCACACCCACTTTGGAAACGAGGACTTCGGGGCACCCCAAGAGAAAACCCCACCTGCTAAGGCCCTGCCTGCCCTCAACGGGGTGACGACGTGCTACGCCAACCCAGCCGTCACAGAGCCAAACGGGGTGACAACGTGCTACGCCAATCCGGCCGTCACGGAGCCCAATGGACACATCCACTTTGACAGTGTCAGCGTGGTGTCCCTCCAGGTCTGTGGGGAGGCTGTGAGCTGCGCGTGTGTACATGTGCACATGTGTGTACACACATGTGTATGATGTGTGTTTATCGGGGACAAGAGGGATGTCGGGCTCTGTTCTTTGCCCACTTCCTCTTGAACATTTACTTCGAACTAGTGAGTGAAGCAAGAAACTCAGGGTACCCGACTCGGCAGTCACTGGGCTGAGACTGGCTGACAAGGTGGCCGCCACTTGGATTTACACAGTAAGCAGGAGCAGTTTAACAAAGAGTGTTTCTCTAATTTTGTGATTCTCTCATGATCACAAACCAAAGAATGCCTCCAAAGACACCGAGTGAGAAGAAAGCAGAGACATATCAAGTGCTCTTCTACTCAGGCTCACTAGGCAGTTTTCTTTCACGTCATGTGAAGAGGCGCTGTTTCCTGAGCATAAACACGGGCCAGGCAGTGCTCGAGGCACTCAGTTGCTTGATTATTTAGGTTTCAGGATGTGGAAAGCAAGGAGCCAGGCTATGGAATAGATGGGCCCAGGGACGGGAGAGGTGACCTTGGCAGCAGCCTGACTGCCCACAGGTGGTAAGTGCTTTTCCCACCTGACTAAGGAATGCCTCAGGTGTGTCTGAAGAGGAATTCTATTACCACAAAGCCAAGAGAGGGAATTACTTCGTACAATTAATAAATGATTTGCAGAGAATGTGGAAATGTTCAAATAGACCAACCACTTCTTGTAATAATTACTGCCAACATTTACTAAGTGCTCAAGGACTTGGCCTGGAACTTCAGAGGAGAGGGCTGGAGTGATAGTACAGTGGGAAGGGTGTTTGCCTTGCACACCGCCAGCCCGGGTTTGATCCCCGGCATCCCATATGGTCCCCCGAGCACCGCCAGGAGTGATTCTTGATTGCAGAACCAGGAGTAACCCCCAAGCATTGCTGGGTGTGACCCACCCATCAGGGGGATGCCCTCATTTGATCTTCCTGAAAGCCTCGAGGTGCCTTGCATGGCTCGGAGAGGCTGAGGGCAGCCCAAGCAGATGCAGAGCTGCACGGTGCCCTGCTTGGGGCCCGCCGTGGCCCAAGCGCCTCCAAGGCTAGCCGGGCATGTTGCTGACATTCTGTTTTCTTTCTTCTTTCTGCAGTGCCGGGGGACCGACCCAGGAGGACCGCGTGCGTGCAAGGCAAGTGCTCCGCTTGGGCACCTCAGCACGAAGCCCCCTACTCTTTGTTCACTTGCTTGTTTGGAGTTTGAGCAACACCCGCCGATACTCAGGGCTCACAATTAGCACAGTGCTCGGGGGTCAGGCCCAGGGTCCTTGGGGGATCCTGTGATAGCGGATATCAAATAGGGTCAAACCCAGCATTGTGTTCCAGCCCTTTGGGCCATCTCTGCAGCCCCTCATTAACCTTCCAACAGTCTTCCAGGGGGAAGCAGACACTTTTATAACCACCTAAGGATGTGATTTAGTGCAGAGAAGGCCCGAGAGTCCCAGTGACAAAACTTCCTTACGTGATGGACTGAAATTCCTGATGGTTCATTCGCCTTCCTGCGCTTTGGCAACGAAGCATTTAGTTCTCTAAGGTGTGGCTGAGGACAGCGAGTGGCCTCTGGCCCCCAGGCTGGAGAACAGGCCACAGACCTGGGGCGGCGGACGGTGAAGCTAGGCCTCAGGAGAGGGAGTTCCAGGGAAGGTGTGAGCCAGGAGGGGTCCCCGGTGGGATCCAGCTGCCCTGATGCCCAGCGAGGCTGCTCCTGGCACCTTGTGGCCGGGAAGAGCCACAGACAAGTGTGGCCACAGACCCTTTTCACGCTGCAGACCTAAGTGAGGAAAGCGGCTCAGAAGCAGTGCCACAGGGCTCTGCATATTGCTCTGGGGGCGGGCATGCGATAGGGTGGGGATTTTATTTTATTTATTTATTTATTTTTCTTTTTGGGTCACACCCGGCAATGCACAGGGGTTACTCCTCGCTCATCACTCGGGAATTACTCCTGTCGATGCTCAGGGGATCATGTGGGATGCTGGGAATCGAACCCGGGTTGGCCGTGTGCAAGGCAAACGCCCTACTCGCTGTGCTATCTCTCCAGCCCCTTGGGTGGCGATTTTAGTAAGGAAATCTTAACATGTATATATTTAGAGGATAAATGTCAGTTTTCAGGGATGATCTTTATTCTTTGGGCCTCCCAGGCAATGCACAGGGGGCACTGGCGGGACACTGGGTGAGTTCGGGCGGGATGTGGAAGGCGAGGGGCAGGAAGGCGGTGCCGTATGCCACCTGGCCTACACCTGGCAGTGCTCTATTGCTGGGGTGTTGGTGCGAGACCCTGAGTGCTGGCTCCCGCCCTGGCCTGGAGTGTCCCCACTTTAAAGAAGCAGGTGGACACTGTGATAAACAGACATGACGCTCATGTCAGTGTCTGAGTCTGAGTCAGTGTCATGTCAGTGTCTGAGCCCGAGTGTGGCCTCCAGCGCAGTGAAGGTTCCAGAGCCAAGAGAGTCAGGCACTCCCAGCGGGGGAAGGAAGGCCATCGGCCTGCTGATGTGGTGGCAGGAAGGCAGGGCAGGGAGGTCTGACTGAAGAAGTGGCCCAACGCTCATTCACAGTCACCCTGGGGCCCTCTCAGCGGGGTGCGGGTGTTGGCAGGGCGCAGGCTGTGCGGGGCCACTAGGGGGCGCTCCAAGCTCGTGCCTCCTGCAGTGTCAGGCGGCAGAGATGGGCCCGGCAAGGCCTCCTGGAAAGAAGATTCTGGGTCTCTCATGTATAAATGCATCACAAAATGATGTGGCCTTATAGTAAGGGCAAGCTTCTTTCTGTCCTGCTCAGGACAGAAAGCATACTGGCTCTATGCTCAACATACCTTTAGCCGGTGATGGGTATAGAACGAGGGCAGCAGCTGTGGCCCTGGCTCTCTCCCGGCGTAACAGCGGGGTCCAGCTGTAGGCCTCGGGGCCTGGGGGGCTCTGCAAGGGTCCCACAGACTTGGGAGTTTCTGTGATAAACCGCAAAGGTCTGTCCTTTTCCGGGAAGCTAAAGCACGGGAAGCTTAAGAGGTGAAGGGTGTTTGGGAGCAGGGAGCGATGAATGAAGTTCCTTGGGGCTTGGCCGTGGCAGCGCTGCTCTAGCCTATTGACACTATGAGCTTGGGGCTGCACCCAGCAGTGCTCAGGCTCACTCCCAGCTCTGTGCTCAGGGCTCACCCCTGGCTCTGTGCTCAGGGCTCACTCCTGTCTCCGTGCTCGGGGCTGACTCCTGTCTCTGTGCTCAGGGCTCACTCCTGGATCTGTGCTGAGGACTCACTCCTGGCTCTGTGCTCAGAGCTCACTCCTGACTGTGCTCAGGGCTCACTCCCGGCTCTGTGCTCAGGGCTCACTCACTCCTGGCTCTGTGCTCAGGGATCACTCACTCCTGGCTCTGTGCTCAGGGCTCACTCCTGACCCTGCTCAGGGCTCACTCCCAGCGGGGCTTGGGGGCCCTGTGGTGCCAGGGTCAAACCTGGGTCAGCTGCGTGTGAGGGAGTCTCGGGAACCCTCTCCTGCACGCCTGCTGCCCCTGGCAGGTGCGTGTTCACCCTGTAGTTCACAGGGTTACTGTTCCTCAGTGCGTGTGAGGGGCCTGTCTGCCCTGTCCGCGGAGGAATGGGGTCTGCCGTAGCCCTGCAGCTGACGAGAGTCTGGGTTTAGCGTAGATGGTCAATTCACGCTGGGTCCAAGGGGCTCAGATGGGTGTTGAGATGTGTGAAGTGTGCAAGGCTCAGAGAGAGGCGGCCTCATGGGGGTTGGACTGGACTGGGGCCGCTGGACATGCGGGCATCTGTATGTGCTTCCTTCATGCACCAAGTAAAACCAGGCCCGAGAGGCAGATACCACCAACTGCTTCAGTCCATCCACACCCAGCGTGAGGAAGGATATGATGTCTATGGGGACTCCCTCATAGCGCCATCCGTTCAGCCTGCTGGGACATGACCTTTGACACAGGAAGTAGTCAGCCCCAGCTGCCCAGGCCAGCCTGACAGGCAGATAAGCTAATCACAGGAAGTGCCCGATGGCAGAGCACCTTGATGGGCAGAAACATGGGGCAGACAGGAGGCTGAGCCCCACGCTGGTGCCGTGGGTTGGGGCACTGGGGTGGTGGCACATTTCCATCCCCGAGCTTGTCTGGCACAATGGGGGAGTGTTGGCCTCTCCCCGCTGCACCCAGAGCCCCCTCATTTGCTGTTGGGGAGCCTCCTGCAGTCCTGGCTAGTGCTTAAGCCAGAAGGTGCTCGGGAAACCCACTGGACAAAGTCCTGGAAACAGTGTTTTGTCTCCCCCAGTCTGGAGAACTGTCTCTGACCCCTTCCTTGTCTCTCGTGGGGACTGAGCTCATTGCCAGGGAGCCCAAGGCACTAGGCCCAACTTCTATTCCTTTGTCCAGAGTAATTGTTGTTTTGTTTTGGTTTGTCTTTTGGTTTGGGGGTTCCACTTGGGGGTGTTGCTCAGGGGTCACTCCTGGTGGTGCTCAGGAGGCCATAGGGGGTGCCAGGGTTTGAGCACGGGTCAGCTCGGGCAAGGCAAATATCTCTCTGACCCAGTATCTACTTTTCTGGTTTGTTCCTGGACCATACCTGTTTGTGCTCAGGGATCATTCCTGGAAGTGTTTGGGGGAAACATGCAGTGTCAGGGGTGAGGCAGGCACCTTAACCCTGTGCCAGGGTCGAATCAGAGTTCGTCACTGCTCTCTCCGCTCCTGGGAAGCTCGTGTTCATCTAAAAATCAAAAAATGATGACAGAGCAAAACGTGTGTGTTTGGAATCAAAGAATGACATTTTGGGGGTACAGAGATTCAGGTAAAAAAACCCGAAATTGTGCTTCAAGGCACAGAGTCGGAGTATTTATGGCAGGAGAAAAGAAAGATGAGAAAAGGGGCTGTGGACTTGGCGCCTGCCTGGCACACAAGCCCGGGGTCTACTTCAGCCCCTCGTGGTCTCTTGGCACTGCTAGCTCTGGCCCTGGGGGCACCAGCAACAATGACCGGAAGAGGAAGCCGACAGGGAATGTTCTTGGCTGCGCACAGTGGCGGCTGCTTATCTGCAGAGGACGGAAAGGTAGTTTGCCTTCCCAACACCCAGACGCTCCTGCACCCGCTCCTGGCTGGGGCCCTAGGAAGGCGTGCCAGTCTGCAGAGTAATCTGGTGTGAGACCCCTGTGAGCCGAGGCTCGGTGAGGCCCCTCTGTCAAGTTCCTACAGTCAGACCCTCCAGGGCCCGCCCAGTGGGAAATAACTCACCCATCACCTTTCATATCCGGGTTGCCCGGATGGTGAAACTGTTAATTTTGACTGCCAGTGTCATAGTTGGTGAATTATTACTACATTTGGCTTAAAGGCCGGGCTAGAGAGGATACTGGCAGCATCATAATGTTTTTCTTTTTAAATATTTTTGTCTGTTTGTTTTTGAGCCACACCTGGTGATGCTCAGAGGTTACTCCCGGTTCTGTGCTTGGGGGTCGCTCCAGGGGCTAGAATCTGGGTGTCCACATGGCAAAGCACATGTTTAGTTCGGGTGTTCCGTCTCAGGCCCAAATTTACTTCTAAAACTATTTGTAGGTAAGAGTTCATCTAAATCTTTCAGCGATCTAAAGACACCCCAGCTTGTTTTCGTGTTCTTGAGGTGCAGCATGGGCCTGACCCAGGACTGCCCTCTGCATTACCTACCCTGCTTGCCGTGAGTTCTGGACGCTCTAAAAGTGTGTTTATCTAAACATGATCCCTACTAAATCGCTTTCACTAATCAAGCAGGACTTATCCCTATTTAGAAGAATTAGTGAGGTTTTACTCAATTAGGCCTGATGTCAAGTTAATTTTCCCCCATTAGTGTAATGAAGAATTGCTGTGTCGCTCTGCCTTGCGAGCTGATTGATAAAAAGAAAAAAAAGAAAAATAAATGCCAACACTTTTTTTTTGAAAATTGAGGAAAGGATTAAGAGGCTCAAGTAAATTATTTGCAGCATCACAAGGGGTTAGTTAATTTGTTGTGTAGAAAACCCAACTGCAAACCATAAGCAATGGAAAATGTTTAGTACATTTCTATTATTGGTAGGTTAACAACAGGCGAGCAAAACAATATATTTTAAACTTTGTTTAATGGTGGAGTTATAAAGTGTGACCATCACAAATGTCAGGTTTGCCAAACTTGGCCTTTTTC